CTGCTTCCCAAGCAACATGACTTCCAAACCCACGCTCAACGTGCGATGCGCTCAACGCGTCGAAGCCGTCGCGCCCAAGTCGTGCCGCCGCAATCCTGCACTGGTCTGGCTGTGCGTTTATGCAGTGCTCGTTTTGAGTCATGACGTCTGCACCAGTTGGGGGGGATACGCTGTGCGTTGCTCGCGCGAGCATTGCCACAGAGGGGCGGGGGGGCAAAGCGGAACTGAGGAAAGGGTGCGAAGGACATAATTGTGTGGACCAGCTTGGATTCAGCCGACGACGGCCGCGAGGTCATGGTAGCAACGGCGGGGATGGGAACTGCCCACAGACTCGATTGAAGTGTCGGGCTCATTCTTCGCCCCCTCCTCTGTGACCATTCGTCCCTTCGTTAGATTTTCTCAACCTTTCCATCCATCGATACCTTTTTTTGTCCCCCTCTGGCTTTGCGCGTCCTCGGTCCTGATCCTCGCTATTCCCTCGTTATAGCCCCGCAGTCTCTTTGCTCTTCTGCCCCATGCTTCCCTCCTTGCATCACTCATCCCCTTCTGCACTTTCCACCTCTTCGTCTTCTCATCCAAATCCGCGGCAGTTGGCCCACGTGCGCATGCGCGCTTTGATCTCCCTCGTTCTCTCCTGTCCCCTTCGCCTCTCCTTCCACATCGTGCCCGTCCCTCGTCGCCACGGCTGGATCGCCACGGCTGGGAGAGGTCCTGGGAGCGGGGATGAATTTGATGATGGCGAGGGCGAGGGGGGAGGAGGGTCAGCAGCAGGGCGATGCAGGACGGTGGAGGGTTGGGGACGCAGACGGGGGCAGCGGGGACAGGAGAAAGGACAAGAACGGAAGGAAGGACGGACTGGAAGAACGCTCATATTTGAGAACGGATGGTGTGAGGAAGGGAGGACTGGAGTAAGGCAAGATGGTCGCATCGGTAGGCGAGGCAGGCAGCGGAGGAGGGGCAGGACGGGTTGGTGTAGGAGGAGGCCGAGATGCAGATGATAGGAGGTGAGGTCGGTGATGAGGGTGAGAAGCGTGAGGATGTGGGCAAGGTGAGGAGGGGATGAGTCGGGTGGGGAGGGGGAGGAAGAGTGAGGCTTGTGAGGCTAGCGAGAAGCGTGAGGAGCCTGACAAAGAGGAAAACGGTAACGAGAAAGGGTGAGGAGGAGTATGAGGGCAACGACTAGGATGATAGCGAGGAGGCGGAGGGGGGGCTGAGGAGGAGGAGGAGGGCTGGGAATAGGTATCCTCTCCCTGCCTCGCACCTCGTCGTCCAAGAGGCCTCTTCCTCCTTCACCTCCTTTCCTTATATAGATGATTCCTCCCTGTCGCACCCTCAGACATGTCAGTAGGGCTGGCCTGGCGTCGCGCCTGAGACTTCTTACCATTCAAATTCTGCAGCAGTTTCAAGGATGCATGACGGATCCTTTTCAAAACGTGGCTCTGTCTTTCGCGCCGCGCACTCTCATTTTCAATGCTTGCGGCAGTGTGAAGTATAGAGGCCGGGTCCTTCTCAAACTGTGGCTTGCGCCTCAGCGCCGCGCACATTTTTTTGAAACTTTTACAAGGCGTTCAACGATGGAGGGCGGTTCCTTTTCAAAATGTGGCTTTCGCATCAGCCCCGCGCACATTCATGTCAAAGGGTTGCGACAGTTTCAAGGAGTCGTGTGGTTGAATTCCCAGGAATTGTGTACTCGCGCGATTGAGGGCTGTCACGACGCAACAGTCACGCTGATTTGTGGTGTTGAAGTCCCAGGAATGGTGTTCTGGTGCGGCTTAGCTTGAGAGGGCGCAGGAATTACGCTGATTCGCGGCGCTGAGGTTCAAGGAAAGGTAGACTGGCACGATCAAGGGTTCTCAGGCAGTTGCCTCCCAATGGGGCACTTCTCGCAATGATAATATGTTTGCAGTAGGGGCCAAGGGACAGTGCATGCTGAGGAATGGTTTACTATACCATCGTTCATGTGTCTTGGGTTACAATGGTCCCCCTCGCCCTTTTCTCCTCCGTCTCTTCGTCGTCGTCGTCGTCATCCTCCCCCACCTGATATGCAATGTCACCTCTTATAGCGCGCCGCCATCACCAGACTCGTAATGCTCGTCACCACCATCACCACCGTCATCATCATCATCGTCATCATCATCATCATCATCATCATCATCATCATCATCATCATCATCATCATCATCATCATCATTTTTTTTATTTTCCCGAACAACGAATACACGTCACCCTTTGCGCACACTCCTCGGTCTCTAGCCGCAGCGAGTAGCGCTGAGCATTACAGCCAGCTGAAATAGACGTAGCGGCTGTTGGCAGGGAGCGGAATCGACTTTCTTGTCCTCTTCTCGCTTCTTGTCTGCTTGCCCTCGTCTCTTCTCTTTCAATTACGTTCGATCATCATCATCATTATCATCATCATGCCGATGTTCATCATCACCATGATCATCAGCACCAGCATCAGCATCAGCATCAACATCATCATCACCTTCGTCAGCATCAGCATGTTCATCGCAACCACCGTCACCATCATTACCACCCTTATTAGCATCATCATCATCATCAGCATCCTCAGCATCATCGTCATCCTCACCATCATCATCATCACCGCCAACATCATAACCATCATCATCATCACCATGACCATCATCACGATCACCAACACCATCACCATCATCATGAGCACCATCATCATCATCATCATCACCATCAGCATCACCATCATCATCATCATCATCAACATCATCAACATCGCCATCATCGTCACCACGACCACCATCATCATCATCAACATCATCACCATCATCGTCATCATCCTCATCCTCATCATCATCATCACCACCACCACCATCGTCATCATCATCATCACCATCATCATCCGCATCACCATCACCATCATCATCATCATCATCATCATCATCATCATCATCATCATCATCATCATCATCACCTCTCTTGTCGTTGCCGTCCTCCCATGTGCTTCCCTGATTGCCCTCTGGCGTGGAGCCACGGCCAGGACGAGGAGCTGAACAAGGGGAACCAGGACCGCATGGACTCTCTCGAGCGCCACTACGCGAACGTCGCGAAGGAGAGACCGGTGGGGTGCGAGCAAAAGGACGGAGTGAGTGAGTGCGGGAGATAAGTCGGAAGGTAGGGAGGGAGGGAGGGAGAGGGGAGCGGGATGGGGGCTCCCTTTGCTTCTTTCAACACGTCCCCGTAGCCCCTCCCCCCTCGTCGCGCGCATGCCTCGGGCCATGATCGGCGACCCTCCCTCTTGTGGACGCCCCCCCCTCTCGGGCGCCCCGCCCACCTCGGTCGGACCGAAGTATACGATCGAAGTTGGTTTGGGGAGGGTACCCTACTCCGAGTTTCTCAATGCGTCGATGGAGCGTCACTCCCGCCGACAGCCCCACATCGACCCCCGTCGCGGGCAGCCACCGCGCGCCACAGGCGCTCCGACCCCCCGTCGCGGCGCGACGACGAGGCGAGGTGACCCCCGTCGGAGGGGTATCCCCCCACGCTCATTAAACAATCCCAGAGTCATGTTCTTCGTGTTTGCTGGATGTTCTTGTGCATCCTGGGGGAGGGTACCCTTCAATGGCCTGTGTGTTTGGACCGGCGGAGGGTCTCATGCTCTTGAAGGATGGTCTTCTGTCCCAGGTCCGACCGTATCGGATGGGGCTAGGACGAGGATGAGTCCGTGCCAGAGCGTGCCGAGACGCTCTCAGAGCATCCCGGAACGCTCTGAGCAGGCCGCGGCGCCCGAGACATCCTCCAGAACCGCCAGATTTTAGAGGCTCTCGGTCTCTCCTCACCCGAATTGATCCTCGTCCTGGCTTCGCCTCACCGTGTCCCAGCCGCCCGCCGCTCCGCGGGCCCAGGAGACCGCGAAGCGCCTGAACGCGCTGGACCTCCGTCTGAGCGGGCTGCAGGGGTCCAGCGGCGAGCTGAAGCGGGACTCCGGCAAGCTCCGGGACGAGGTTAACAACCTCACGGCGCCCGGCTCGACTGCACGGGTCTGGGCCTCCCAGATGGGGTCCGAGCAGATGGGGTCGGAGGATCGGGCCGTATCGCCGATGCATCGACGATGCGTCCTCGATGTGGAGCCCGTGCTTTCCCGCGCCGACGTTGCCGATGCATCGCCGACGTCGCCAGTGCATCGCCGATTCATCGCCGATACATCGGCAATGCATTGGCGATGCGGCGCGATCCTTCGACCCCATCTACTCGGACTCCATCTAGGATGCCTTTAATGGGGGAGGAGTCGGGCGCCGTGTCATTGAGGCGGGGGTCAATGCAAACGGGGGTCAACCAGTGCGCCGGATCTTGCAGGATCTCTGCAGAGCCAGGAATGCACTGACCAGGGTGCATGAGCTTGCAGGATCCTGCAGAGCCCGACTGACCGGGGTCTTGGATTGACCCGGGTCGGTAGATCCCTGAGGGCATGGGGAGGGGAGATTAGGGCGGGGCCAGAACGGGTGGACGAGCCGGGAGGGGGCATGGCATGCCACGCCTCGGCACGCCGCTGCGATCGCCGCGGCGACCCCCAAGATCGACCCGACGGTCTGGCTCGGGGTCGGAGACCACGCGACGACCTCAGTCAGGCGATCGTAAACATGGATCGAGGGGGCGTGGAGTAGCGACGGGTCCCGTCTCCATGGGAAAAATCGCGACTTCCCGCCGCCGTACGAGGCGTTACCGGCCGCATTCTGGTGAGGGCACCCCCCTCGATCCAGGGATTTGACGACCGCTCGCCGAAGCCACGGATCGCTGATCCACGCTTGCGCGCCCCCGACGAGCCTCGCCCTTGGCTTGCGGCCGCCGCCCGGGGGCGGTGGCCCCGCGGGAGCCCTCGCGCTCCGCGCTGCACGCGGCGCGCCCCTGGGCGCGCGGCCGCCTCCGCGCTGCCTCGCGTCGACCCTACAGGCATGTTTTTGGGAGGCATTTTGGATGCGTGTGGGGAGCATTTCGGCATTCGAGCTTCCGAGTTATGATGTTTCAGCCTATTTCATTCTTGATCACCGGAAAGAATTTCGATCACCAGCAAAGTACCGAAATTCGAGGGCTTTCACGTGTCGGGCCCTGGGAGACACCCCTCCGACACTGTGCCGACACTTTTTCGACACTTTTCCGGATGCTCGGAATGATTTCTGGGATGTGATCCTGCAGTACGATGGGGTCAACATGGCTTTAGAATGGCATTTTTGGAAGCATGTTGGAATGGGGAAAACAGCAGAGAACCCAACTCGGACCAACCTCGCGCGTGAAGAACAGTGCTCCCGGAGGGGGGCGCACCCCTCTCGGGACGCCTTCCCCCCTTGGGAGCCCAGATCGTTCGGGACCGCTCGCAGGGCGCTCCAGAGCGTTCTGGAACGGTCGCGATGCCCGATGCTCTAATCGAAGAAGGAGCAAAACACATAAACATAAACATACACTTTTGGCGCTCCGCGCGGATTTCTTGGCTCCGCGCCTAGCGCCAAAAGTTTTGTTTATGTTTTTTTCCTTCTTCTATCTAAGCCTCTTAGATGGGTTCGGAGTCGATGGGTTCGGAGGATCGCGCCGCATCGGCGATGCATGGCCGATGCGTCCTCGATGTGGAGCCCGATTTGATTTCCATCGACCTCGCCGATGCATCGCCGATGCATCGGCGATGCATCCCCGATGTACCGGCGATGCGGCGAGATCGTCCGTCCCCATCTACTCGGACCTCATATGGGAGGCCTCTAGATGCTGCCTCCAGAGCCGCCAGACCTCAGGCATTGCCTTTGTGACTGTTCTTTAAGAGTCCACAGGGGTAACACGTGTTACCCCCCCAAGACCACCCCACCCCGTACTGGTAACGCTTGGAAGCTGGCCGCAAGCGTGAATCTGCGCAGCTTCCAAAGGACATTGTAAGGAATACACGGGAGCTGGCGCACGCAGGCATCGATGTGCACGCAGGGCCAGTGCACTATGGTGTACACGGGTGCTGGTGCGCACGCAACTGTGGCGCACGCGTGCGCTGCGGTATGGCTGCTGTGGTGTGCACAGGCATTGCGGCCAGTGCCCCATGGTTCTGGCGGAGGCGACGGGACGAGGAGGAAGAGGAGGGGGAGGAGGTGGTGGAGGAGGAGGATGAGGAGTAGGAGGGGGAGGAGGAGGAGGTGAATGACGAGTCCTCTAGGCCTCCGCGATCTGGTGAACCCGGCAAAGTGACTCCGCCTTTCTTCTTCCAGTTCCTGCTGTTGCCTTTCGCTCAACCATGCCTTGACCAAGGAATATGCGTGCCATTTTGTCCAGATGCGCTGGCGGGCGCGTGGTGACGCGAGGTTTTCTTGCCCTGGGGTGCTCGGCCAGCAGGGCATTCAAGTACGAGGCTTGCGCCATTCTGACATGCGGTCGCCACAGGCGCACTGTGTTGCTCACAAGCGCAACGTGGTGCTTGCAAGCTACCAATGTGCCCTCTGGCACTTTTGGCGTTGTGGTGTACACACATGCGTTGTGTTGCACGGAGGCATTGTGGTGTGCACAGGCGCTGTGGTACACATCGCTGCTGTGGTGTGCACAGGCGCTGTGGTGTACTCAAGAATTCTGGTGCACACCGGCAATGTGGTGTGCACAGACGTTGTTGCGCACGCGGTTGCTACAGTGTACACAGGCACTGTGTCGCACACCGGCGACGTGGTGCTGTGGTGCACGCGGCTGCTGTGGTGTACGGAGGCACTGCTGTGTACACAGGCGGCGCTGTGCTGCACGCAGGCATTGCGCATTGTCGTGTACACAGGGACAGTGGTGCACACAGTCGATTGATGTGCTGGTGGCGTGGACCCACCCTGGCTGGTGCACGCCGCGGCCGCCGTTACCGGTACCCTCCGACCGCGCCACCCCCGGGGTAACAGTCACTTTCCGGCCCGACTTCTCCCGTTCCCCTCGTCGCCTTAAAGGGAGGAGGGCGAGAATGAAAACGAGAAGGAGGACATTTTTTTGAATTTGTGTTTTGGCCTCTGTAGGCATACTCACATATCAGGGGCGAAGACCTGGAAGGGGTACGCTCATGCGGGGACACGCCGCCCACAAGTCGCCCATTCATCGCCGACGCGGGCTTTGCGGCTCCAGCGTGCACAACAATCTGCCTTTTCGTTGGCGTGGGCCTGTCGGCGTTGTGTCCGCGGTTTCCCCAGGGGGCGCGCCAGGAACCCCAAGGGCCACGCGGCGCGCCCCAGTGGGGTCTAGGGTCTAGGCTCCTTAAAGAATCCTCAGGATTGGGGACTCAATCGTAAGGGATTAGGCCAAGGACCTGAGGACACTCCAACTCGTACCTCAAGGGCACAGTGGCGGACCATTTGTTTCTTTTCGAAAAGGAGCACACATGTCGGCCAGTCTGGGTCGCACATTATGTGTAGTGCGGTCTATGTTGTGCGTCATATGAGTTGCAGCACATGTCGTGTAATCCACCGGGTAGAACTTTAAGGTGTCCACCCCAATGCTCGCGCAAAGATCTCTCCCTCCCACCCGCACCTTGCTTAGCGGTTCATGAGGCCACGATTGGGGTTCCCGAGTGAAGCTTGCTCGCGCGTCTCTAAGGCCGCGCTGGCACGTGCACTCGCGCGCAGAGATATCAGATGACTTTGACAATGGCGGCAGCGACTATGACAATATCGATGGTGGTGGAGATGATGCCGACGACGACGGCAGTTTATGTGATGTAACCTACGTGAGTTGGGATGTAATCTAGGTGGTGCAGGCTAAGTGGTGAAATTGGCCAAGTCAAGAACGGGTTGTCAACTCCACTACTCGCGCAACCATCCCACCCTCCCACCCGCAACTTGTTTGGCAAGACCCTGCGACCACGATTGCTTTTGCCGACTGAAACTCGCTGACGCACCTCCATGGCCGCACTGTCGCGCGCACGCTCGCGCGCAGACCGGCCAGTTGTGTTTGGCACGAGTGATGCGGCCGCAATGGTGCTTGGCGATGTGAGCTCCTCAGCGCGTCTCAAAGGCCGCGTTGGCGTGCGGAAGCTTCAGTGCGGGTCGGTGACTCAGGCGGGCGCGATATCATTATAACGTCGACAAAAGCGACACCCGTGATGACAATAACGATGGTGGTGGCGATGGTGACGATGATGGCGGCAAGGCCATTGACGGCGCCGATGCTCGTGATGACCATGACGATGATGATGTCCGTGTTTCGGCGATAAAAGGTGATTGTTCCGATGATGGCGGCAATGCCAGCGATAAGCGATGCCCGTGACGGCGGTGATGTAATGCCGCTCATGATGGTGATGGGGAAGTACGCGCGCAGAACATGACATCAGTTAGCAGGTTCTTCCTTGAAAAGCAAGTCCATGCTGTTGATGAGCTGAACCTTGACGTGCTTCGAAGACCATGGATTTTGAACGGATTTTAAATTGCGCGCGGCGCCGCGCGCATGTGGTCCGCATTGTAATCTATGATGCGGAGCCGTGCACTGGGCGCATGCTAGATCAGTGCGGGTTGACCGCGTGGGGAGATGAGAATGCGTGTTCCCAACGAAAGTCCCAACACACATTGTTTTCATCGGACTTCAGGAAGTGCGTACGGACAGAACATTTGCAAATGTTTGATGGCGGTTGAAGGAACAAACACGTTTTTAGGTTGAAATGATACCAGCTGCAATGTGGTTTGTATGATGTCGACATGTCCGCGCGCGTGTGGACTTTGTTGTTTTTACTTCAGGGTAGTTGCAACATGATTTGTTCAGGGGTTCAGGAAGCCAGTGCGCCCGCAAGGTGTTATTTGCACAAGGATGACGGAGGGTGCCAGTACTGGCCCTCCTGGCATGGTACGACTTCAGTTGGAAAAATATCGACGGGGAACGTCCAGATGTACACTGCAATTCAAAGCGTGGTACAGTTCAGTCTGGGCTCGGGATGGTGGTAATTTCTTTTCTTGAACTGAGAATGTGTGTGGTGGTGCATGCTACGTGTGTATCCTGGAACGCGAGCAAGCGAGCAAGCGGACAGGGCGGCCACGAGGAGGCCACGCGCGGCTGACGGAACGTTCGCACATATGAGCCAGTGCGCGGGGCGGTCACCAGGCGGCCAGGGCTGGAGCCGTGCAAGAATTGCAGGCCGATGATCCAGTATGCGAAGCAATGCCCCATGGTGTAACCATTATTTGGGACATCGTGACGACGAACTTGACGGCGATGTTGCTGTTGATGTTGTTGATGCTGTTGATGCTGATGCTGATGCCGATGACGAGGAGGAGCAGGGTAAGGATGAGGAAGCGGAGGAGGCGGAGGAGGAGGAGGAGGGAGATGGGGAGGAGGAGATTGGTATTGATGACGATGATGATGATGATGATGATGATGATGATGATGATGATGATGATGATGATGATGATGATGATGATGATGATGATGATGATGATGATGATGATGATGATGATGATGATGATGATGATGATGATGATGATGATGATGATGATGATGATGATGATGATGATGATGATGATGATGATGATGATGATGATGATGATGATGATGATGATGATGATGATGATGATGATGATGATGATGATGATGATGATGAGGATGATGATGATGATGATGATGATGATGATGATGATGATGATGATGATGATGATGATGATGATGGTGGGGATGGTGATAAGAGTGAGGACGAGGGGGACGGGGAGGAGCAGGAGCACTGACGCAATATCATGCCGAGCAAGAGTGGGATGATGTTCGTGGTGGCAATAGGGGAGCAGCAGAGTTGGGGGGAGGGGCAAAGGGGTTGGCTCAGCATCACGGCGAGTTCGCGCAGGAGGCCACCCAGACCAGGACCTCCCCCTCTTCCTCCTTTTCCTCCTCTTCCTCTCCGTCTGCCTCCTCCCAGCACCCCTTCAAATCGATCCCCAGACCTCGTCCCAGAACGCGTTCAGACCAGGATTTCGAAGCGGATTTAGCCGTGGCGACGAGGATCCCCACCCCCCCCAAGGCCCGGCAGATGAGATGAGATGAGCTTTCCGGGCAGCACCAGAACAAGCCAGCATGGAAGCACGGAGATGAGGCCCGAGGCCTGGAAGGGGAGTGGCGGTATCCCAGAGCACTCCAATGCCAACCTGTCCTACCCCACATGCGGCGCATGTCCAAAGCCAAGGCGGGCTCCAGCACCTTGGCGTGCCAGTACTAGTACGATGGGTGCTGGCATTCATCAACAAGCGGCCTTGGAGCCGTAGGACTTAAATTCCTCGTTGCACGGAGCCTGCAAATGGAGGAGGAGGAGGAAAAGAAGGACGAGGACCAGTGTAAACCCAGGAGTCATCAACGGTGTTGGAATCTACCCTCCCTCCAAGCTCCCTCATCGTGGCCCCCTGCAAGGATTCAATTCCACTGGGGGAACTGCCTCGTTGGAAGACAACCGTTTGAAGACCCTGAAGCATGGTAAAACGTTACTCTCGGGACTCCAACGCCACAGATGAACCTAACTTTTGCGTCTTGACGACCCCGAATCGTGTCAGAACTCCTGTCCTGGGACTTCAACTCCGCGAATCAACGTAACTGTTGCACCCTCATGATCCTGAGCCTCTCCGAAACACAGCTTCAGGTACGTTGACCATGTGAATACGTGAAACGTTTTTTGCAGTTTTTGAGCAGGAATGTGCGCGGCGCTAAGGCGAAAGCCACATGTTGAAAAGGAACCGCTCTCAATCAGTGAATTCCTTGCAAATGTTTAAAACATGTGCGCGGCGCTCAGGCGAGAACAACATGTTGAAAGCCACTTGCCCTCCATCTGTGAAGCTGTTGCCAAGTTTAAAGCCTCAGGGTCATAAGTAGTAAAGAAGCATCAGGCGAAACGCCCAGCCCGCCCTACAGACAAGTCTGGTGTGCGAGGGGGAGGAGTTGTCTACAAGGAGCAGGGATGCAGGACGAGGAGGAGAAGGACGAGGAGGAGAAAGACTTCTTCGCGCCTCAGTGTCGGTCGCTGGACCTTTCCTGGAGCGCGTTCAGACCAGGCTTCAAGGCGAATCCACCCGTTGCGACAAGTCTCTCCCAGAAGGCTCAGAGGAAGATAAGGACGAACAGGACGAGGAGGAACCCCCTCCGAGCTTCCGAGGTCAAGAGCGCGGCGCACGACGTGGACATCGGAAAATGCAGCGACGATCTGCGCAAGCTCGAGCGCCAGCGCGCGGAAGACTCGCAGAGGCACAAGCAGGACATGGACGGTGTCTACGAGGAGTTGGACCAGAAGGTGTACGAGAAGAGTTTTAAGTCGCTCGAGGATCTGACTACCAAGTTGACACGCGGCACTGTGAAGCTTTGCCAGGTGGTCGGCGTGTTTCCCGGTGCCAGGGTAAACGACGGCAGCGAGGAGGAGCTTGATGTGGACGTTGAGTTGCTGAACTGGGAGGACTGCGCGCAACACCTCACCGCCCGCGTGGAGAAGACGTGGCGGCAGCTGTCGTCGCAGAAGTACCGCAGCATCCTCGACCTGGTGAGCAAGAAGGCCGACCACTCGGTGCTGCGCCTCCTCCAAATCTCCCAGCAGCACATCGAAAGCCAGCTGGACCGCGTCCGCCATGAGCGCGAGCTGTGGAAGGAGGTGGTGGACAAGCGCGCGCAGCAGCCGATGCAGCTGGCCCTTTCGCTCAAGGACCCGTCCACGGGGCAGCCGATGCCGCCAGGCGCCGGCATGATGGGCAACCAGGGCATGAACCCGATGATCGGGTACGGCCCGCGCTTCGACGGCTCCGACGGGCTCCCGCCCGTGCCGATGGGCGGCACGGCCCCGATGGGCGACCAGACTGGAGGCATGATGAAGGGGGCGTCGCCGCTGGCGAAGCGCATCGCGCGGCCTGCGGGCACCCCGCCGCAGAAGGCGTGAGGTGCGTGGCGCGCGGCGTGCACGGCCCCTGCCTTAAGTCGGGCACGTCCCTCTTCAGGAGGAGTAGATTAAGGATAATAAAAAAAGGGGACGCATTTTTTTGAGTATATTTTTGTATTTTTGGATATTTTCGGATGACTTTTTATTTTTCCTCCGATATCCGCCTGTAGGAGGACACGCCCGACCTAACCCCTGCCGCCGCCGGCACCGTCGCCCTTGTCGCTTCGCTCGAAGAGGAAAAAGCCACGCAAACATAAACTTTTGGCGCTCCGCGCGGATTTCTCGGATCCGCGCCTGGGCCCCGGCGGCGCCTCTGGCGCCGCCCCTGGCGCGCTCTGCGTGCCGTGGAGGGGGGTCCAGCGCAGATCCAAGAAATCCGCGCGGAGCGCCAAAATTTTTGTTTGTGCAGTTTTTCTTCTATTCGCAGCGTGAGGCCCCTTCGGCGGCCCGGGCTTCGGGCACCAGCCGGCGCCAGCCCGTCTGCTGCTGTTCCTGCTGCTGCTGCTCCTCTTTCCGCCTCCTCGGAGGTGGGGATGCTCTCCGGAGTGGGGTGGTGACCACACCGTGTGGTGAGTCGGTGGGGATTCTGGGTGACCGCACGGTTTTGGGACTCGGGTCGTTCTCAGAGGACGTCTCGGGCGACTGGGGCATCCGAGGTCCCAAAACCGTGCGTTGACGGACCGTGCGGTGAGGTCTTGGGGGATTTCGAGGTCACCGCACGGTCTGTCACCGCACCGTTTCGGGACTCCAAATCCTTCCTGCTCTTCCCCCCTGCTGCTTTTCCCCTGATGCCGCCCCCTTCCCCTTCCTCGTGCAGAGGGCCCTGCGGCGATACGGGCTTGGCGTCTCCAGGAGATTCGTACACTTGTGTTCCCGCTTGGCTGCTACAGATGATTCTCAGACGGGCTCGGGAGAGGTTACCGAGAGAGAGAGAGAGAGAGAGAGAGAGAGAGAGCGACAGACAGAGAAAGAGAGGGGGAGAGAGAGAGAGAGAGAGAGAGATAGAGAGAGAGAGAGAGAGAGCAAAAGGCCACTGCGGCTACCAGTGGAGGCGCAGCATTGGTTTCAAGATGGCCCCAGAGGCCCAAAACCGCCGCCCCACGGCAGCTTCCACGTGTGGCGCCAACATTCCAAACATTTCAATCATATTGCAGTTTTCTTGGGCTGGATTTTCTACAGGAGTGCGAAGCGAGACAGGGAGGGGGGGAGATCTGAGAAGGCAGGAGAAGGAGGACGAGGACGAGGAGGACAAAGAGGACGAGGAGGAGAGAAGGAGTGAAGGAGTGATGTTGAGGAGAAAGAAGAGGAAGGGAGGATTTGTAGTGTCTAGGTGACACCAGGATATCTCCTTTGCACCAGACGCCGTGAAATCAATGAGCGACGGGAGCTTCTTATTATCTCAATGTGTTCCATAGTTCTCGTGCAATTTCTTGCACGCTTATCGGCCCATGCCCGAATCTTGCTGATGGCGTTGATAAAAATTACCTCGCGCCTGGGCTGCGCGGTATTCTGGACGAGCTGGGTGCGACTTTCGCCGAAAGTGGGCGCCGAAAGTGGGCGGCGAAAGTGGGCGCCGAAAGTGGGCGCCGAAAGTGGGCGGCGAAAGTGGGCGGCGAAAGTGGGCGGCGAAAGTGGGCGCCGGAAGTGGGCGGCGAAAGTGGGCGGCGAAAGTGGGCGGCGAAAGTGGGCGGCGAAAGTGGGCGGCGAAAGTGGGCGCCGAAAGTTGGCGCCGAAAGTGGGCGCCGAAAGTGGGCGCCGAAAGTGGGCGCCGAGAATGGGCGCCGAAAGTGGGCGGCGAAAGTGGGCGGCGAAAGTGGGCGGCGAAAGTGGGCGCCGAAATTGGGCGCCGGAAGTGGGCGGCGAAAGTGGGCGGCGAAAGTGGGCGCCGAACGTGGGCATGCTTGTCGTGAATCTGTCTCTTCCTTGTCGTGAAGCTGCTTGTCGCGAAACCATCCCGGCCATGCCAGGATACACCTATCTACTCCAGCAGCTGTACGAGGGACAGAAAACCACGGTCAAGACGGACGTGAGCAGCCGGCCCTTCAACCTTTCACGGGGCACCAAACAAGGGGACCCGCTCAGTTCCTTTTTTTTCAACGCTCTTCTGCAGCACATTCTCGAAACGCTGATCACCGAATGGCAAAAAAGGGCAAGGGTGTTCAGCTGGGGCTTACCACCCCCACCACTCTCACCAACCTTCGCTTCACCGACGACGTGCTCCTGACCAGCCAGACTCTTCCGCGCCTCCCAACGATGCTGGAAGACATAGTGCGCGCAGCGAAGCCGCACGGACTCGAGCTGCACCCGTCCAAAACCAAGATAATGAGCAACCAGACGAGACGGACGGGCAGGGCGAGCTCGCGCACGGCGCGCGTAGAGGGCATGGGCATCGACATCTTGCCGCACGAGGGCAGTATTAAATATCTCGGTCAACTCATCAGCTTCCACGACGCGATGGAGACATATAGTCACCACCGAACGAAGGCCGCATTGGCATCATTCACCACGCATAGACAGGAGCTGACCAGTAATCACTACCTGCTGGCGCACAGGCTTCGACTCTTCAGTAACACAGTAACGCCGACGGTTCTCTACGGAGCTGAGACCTGGACGCTCACGGAACCTCTCCGGCAACACCTGCGACGAACGCAGCGACGCATGCTCCGCATGATCATCAGAACGACGCGGCGACGAATCACTCACAACACAACCCCTCGCAACGACCACGGCGGCACAGACGACGGCACCACCAAAGAAGAACCTGACGACGCTCCTAGGCCAACCGACAGCAGCGACGACGCAGACAGCCACACAGAGCAGCAGCAAGCGACAGACCAGCACAGCGAGAGCAACGACGACGACAACGAGGACATGCTGGAACCCTGGGTTGAGTACATTCAGCGATCAACACGGCGTGCTGAGCAGCTCATGCAGCACTAGCAAGTCGCAAAGTGGGAAAGGATTCACAGACAGAGATCGTGGCGCATGGCGTCAAGGGTCGCTAACCATGACCCCACAAGATGGACGTGGCGCGCACTCCACTGGCAACCGGCAGAGAATCCACGCCAACGCGGGCAGCGACAGCAAGGCAGACAGCGCAAGCGATGGGAAGACGACGTCGTCAAGTTCCTCCAACAAAGCAGCCCCGACCAACATCCAACGGCCACGCCGACTACAACAGGCCAGCCGAACGACATTATTTGGATCCGGACGGCTCAAGACATCTTCATGTGGTCGACATTCGGACGGCAATACATATACACCACGTAGCGACAGAACGCCGACTTCCACATCGAGGACTTCCTCCCCCCTCTCCTCCCCCGCTTCCGTCATAACTGTTTGATTGTTTCGTTGTTCATATGCATGATTGCGCGTAGCTCATCGATTAGGTTTCTGGAGGCCACGCCACGGCCTACCCGCCAGGTCCTAGGTCGGCCCGGACATTTGTCCGCAATGGTGGCTCGCTTCGCTCGCTTCGCTTCGCTTGCATGGGCAGACAGCGCAGGCGCCGCTGTATGCCGTGCACGCTGCGCGGGGCACGCGCACGTGGCACGATGCGCAGGACAGCCATAAGGAGGACGAGGGGCGAGAACCATAGGCTCGAATAGGACATGGGCGGCGGGGGCGAAGAGCGGGAGAATAACCCGCGGGGGCTCGAGCCGCCAGCGCGGCAACGGCAGAGGGAAGGTGGCAGGGGGAGGAGGGCGAAAACGAAGGCGGCGGGAGAAGAAAGAAAAGGATTTTCTTTGTCGGCCGTGCGCTAAGGGTGCAGCGCTGCCATGTCGCCGCGGCGCTCGAACAGATGATTCTGCCTGCTTATAGTTTTGGGAAAGGAGCGAGCGAGGCCAAGCTCGCCCGCCAGCTTCTCTGCCTCCTTCCCGCGCTTGTCTGCGCGGGAGCGAAACGCTCGAAGGGGCGCGGCCAGGTCTGCAGGCGGCCCGCGGGCCAGGAAATCCAGGCGGGGGTCGCGCATCATCGGGGGGTTGTCCACGGTCGGCGCCCTGGACAACATCGCGTAGAGATGCAGCCAAGGTGCACCACTTTACTTTTCATCCTTCACGCCGCGTCGACAATGGAACCGCGATGCGTTGTGCGGTCCTGGGAGGCCGTGGAAGTCAGGTCTTCGGCATGGGAGATGGCCAGGCCGGTGCGCGTGACCTTATGCTTCCGGAAGTCGAACGGGCTGGAACTTTGCGGTTCGATGAAGACGAGGCGCGCCGCGTCCGCGGCGCCGATGCTGTCACCGAGCTCGGCGAGCTTCTTGCCGCAGGGGCGGGCTTTGTATTCGTCCATGCGCATTTACGTGCCGTGCGGCAGGTACCGCAGGTACGCCCGACGTCGCTCGGCCTTCGCCGCCCTTCCGGGGTGGTGAGGTCTGATCTGAATCTGCGTAGGGCGTCACTCTGCAGGACCCCCCAGCAGCCCTTGAAAATGGCGACAATTTCGCCAATCGCAGCCCCCCAAGGATGATGTCAAATCTGAGTCTGCTCACTACGTCGCTATGATGGGCCCCCAGCAGCGTTCGAAAGTGGCAAAAGTTTCGCAGATCGAAAACCCCCGAGGGATGGCCAGGTCTTGTTCGAGTCTGGGTGGTGCCTCATTCTGGTAACCCCAGCAGCCTTCGAAATTGGTGACGCGCTCTCAGATGACAGCCCCCCCAGGGATGGCGAGGTCTAGTCTGAGTTTGGGTGGGGGTTCGGTCCGGTGGACCCACCGGCAAAGTTCGAAAGTGACAACAAATCCGCAGATCGGAGTCCCCCAGGGATGGCGAGGTTTCGTTTGGGTCTGGGTGGTGCTTCTCTTTGGTGACCCCCCAGCAACCGTCGAAAACGGCGACAGTTTCGCAGATCGCAGCCCCCCAGGGATGGCGATGTCCATTATGAGTGTGGGTGGTGCCCCAGTCCGCTGGACCGCCAGCAAGCTTCGAAAGTAACAATAGTTTCGCACATCGCAGCCCCCCAGGGATGGCGAGGTTTAGTATGAATCTGGGTGGTGCCGCACTTTGCCGGACCCACCAGCAGGCTTTGAAAGCGGCGACACTTTCGCAAATCGCAGCCCCTCAGGGATGGCGAGGTCTAATCTGAGTTTGCGCACTACGTCGCTGTACGGACCCCCCACCCAGCAGCCCTCGACAGTGGCGAGAGTTTCGCATATCGAAGTCCCCCCACGGATGGCGAAGTCTAGTCTGGGCCTGTGTGGTGCCTCGCTCCGCTGGACCCCCCGACAACCCTCGAAAGTGGCAGCAGTTTCGCAGATCCCCCCCCCAGGGATGGCGATGTGTAATCTGAGTCCGCAAGATGACCAGAGGTGACTGGCGAGGCACGGTAGCAGGCTGGTAAAGCGGAAAAAGGCGGCGGGGAAAAGAAGAGGAAGGACGGAGAGACCACAGTGTTCGATTCGAAACTAATAATTACTGGTGAGGAAGGGGGCCCTGAAAGACCCACCGAGGCCCAGCCAGGCAGCACGCGTCATTCTACCAGGCTGCGCGCGATGTGCACCGCATCGTATCGCTTGCACTGGAAACTTCTCAGGGCCGGACGGTCTGACTTTTGTTGGGGTCTGGTTTGGGCATGGGGGTTTGGCTCGAGCTTGAACTGGCGGGAGTGACGCGGGCCTGATTTCTCGATGTAGGAATGGTCTGGCGGGGGGTGGTCTGGCTTGATCTGCCCGGGAGGTGTTGGGCGGGTCGTTCTCTTCATCAATTCGCCCGGGAGGGGTGGGTTTGTCTAGACACGGGGGTGTTCGATCTTGAGTTGCACCGCGCCCGCCCTCTGTATGAGGGGGGGGGTCTTCCGAAGCCTGTTCGTGTGCGTCTGGGCGGGGGTCAGAGTTTTGATGTTTTGATGTTTCCGTCTTCGGCTGGATGGAGGGGGTGTCTCCCCGCAATCCTGTCTGAAGCTCATGGGAAGGGTTTGCGTTTTAATGTCTGCGTTCGGCTGGAGGTGGGGTCTCCGCGATGCTGTCTTGAATTTGTGGGGTACATTGTTTTGACACTACGAACGTCCACCCTGGGCTTGAGGGGAGTTCTCCGCGAACCAGTCTGGAGCTTCTCGGTGAGGTCCTGGGGGTGTCTGCCGCTGTTTTCGTCGCCCGCAGTGGCATGGCCAGTTGTGGTATCCCCAGGGGTGGGGCTGGCCCTTCTTCGGTTGATCGGGAGATGAGGAATGCGCTGGGCCCGTTTTGTTGAGGATGTCTGGAGCGAAGGCGCCGGTCTGGGATGTCGTGTCAGATTCTGTCAGGATTGCAAGAAAAAGATGCAGGACGCACTCTTGGCCCCTCCTCTGGGGAGTCGACTTTGCGAGGATGTCCCGAGCGAGGGCGCTTGTTTTGGATTCTGCGTCGAATTCCATCAGATTTGCTGGACACCGTGCAGTACGCATTCTTGGCCCGATTTTGCAAGGACGTCCCGAGCCAGGGCGCACGTTAGGGATTCTGCACTGAATTCCGTGAGACTCACCAGAAACAATGCAGACAACATTCTCGGCCCCTCCTTGGGGACGACTTTGCGAGGATGTCCCGAGCGTGGGTGTTGTTTGGGATTCTGCGCCAGATTCCGTCAGACTCGCCGGAAAGGGTGCAGGAAACGCTTTTGTTTGTTCTTCGCGCGCCAGGGATCAGGATGAAGTGAGTTCCACAAAAACTCCTTCAATTTAGACAGGGATGGTGCTGGGACCAAATGGGGTTGCGGCCCTCACCGAGTTTTTGCCATGGAACTTGCGCACGTGTGGGCTACTATCATTGGTTCAAACATTATGTTGCTGGGGCCAGATCTGGCCCAGTAGTTAGTAGCAGTAATATGTAAGCAGTTCGCGTAGGAGTGTTGGAGTGAAGGAGTTCGAGGAGGAAGATGGGGGGGATAGGAGGAGGAGGAGGAGGAGGAGGAGGAGGAGGACGAGGAGGAGGAGGAGGAGGAGCGGGAGCATGAGGAGCATGAGGAGCATGATGAACATGAGGAGCATGAGGAGCATGAGGAGGGGGATGAGGAGCATGAGGAGGGGGATGATGATGAGGAGGAGGAGGAGGAGGAGGAGCAGGAGGAGGAGGAGGAGGACGGGAGGAGGAGAAGGAGGAGGAGGAGGACGATGAGGAAGGCGACGAGCAGGACGACGAGGAGCAGGGAGGGAGATGACGAGGGGCATCATGGTGTCGGCGCCGCAGCCGTGGGAGGAGTGATGTCCGAGACCTTCGTCCGCCAGATGTCCCCCCCTCGTCCCTCCTCGTGCCCCTGCCCAATCCCGCCAACCCCCTTTGCCTGCCAGCGTCCGCCTTGGATTCGCCGAGGGGCGGCCCTCCCTTCGCTTTTCCGTGCTGTGTCTGCGCGCCGCGGGTGGCAACATGCCTCCCGCGGCGCGCTGGAGCGTATAGCGCATCTGATGCGCACCCTCTCTCAGAGGAGGGCCAGTCGATGCATCTGCGGCCCTCGTCCTGACAGTAGCGGAGCCCCCAGGCTGCGCACAGGCTGCCCCCAAGAGGCAGCCCAGGCCGGCCTCAGCACGGGCCCCAGGCGTCCAGGGCGGTCTCGGCACCCCAGCCCCCCCCTCCTGAGATCCGACGTCGCGAAAAATGTGAAGCGTCGCGACACATCCCGACAGGAGCCCCAGACCACGTCTTCCTGCGCCATTCTTCGAGCCCGATTGGCCTGTGAGGGTCCCGGGCCCCGACACGCGGCTGGGAGGCGGCGCCGGGCGGCGCGGCCTCCCGGGGGGCGCCGCTCCGAGCCTCCGAGCCTCCAGGGGGGCGCCGCCGGGAGGCGGCGCGGGGGGCTGCGGTGACCGTCCCGTCACGGAGGCCCACTGGAGGCCAGCCTGGGCTGCCTCAGCGGGCTGCCCGGTGTGCAGCTCCAGGCCCTGCGGGCCTCCCGCCGTCCCCTGGCGGGGAAGCGCAGGCACGGGTGGAGGTGCGGGGGCTGGCGACGGGCCCCGCTTCCATACAGAAGCAGCGCGCTCCGTCCCAAAATCGCAGAGCAGGGCTCGAGCCGAACAATGTTTTGGCGATTTCGTGGGCCGTTTTCGTTTCGATTCATCGGGCCGGACGAAAGTTGGGATAGGGAAAGGGGGGGCTCACGAAATCTGCTGCATGCAGCTGGTTTCGGCCCCGCCGCCGGGCCCATTCTTCGATACATGGGCGCCTCCCAGGGCCGGGAGGCGCTGGGAACATCAGCTACGTGAGCTGATTCTCTACCCTGCCCTTTGCTATCCCCCCCTTTCGTTCCCCCCGAATTGAGTTTGCAGCAGGGGCGGAACGAAGACAGGGCAAAGGGAGGACGAAAACAGCACGGACACGGCAAACACTGCGGCTCGAGCCCTGTCCCAGAGGAGGAAACGAGACGATACGGTTAAGTCGGGCCCGTCCCTCTACAGGATGAATAGTGAAAAATAGCACAAACGTAGTCAGGGGACTTTTTTATGATTGACATGTTGAATCTGTTTAGAGCATTTTTGAACATGTTTAGAGTATTCGGAAATTGTCCTACAACATCCGCCTGTAGGGGGACATGCCCGACCTGAGGATACCGCTACCCTTTCTCCGTTTCCGCCTTTTCAGCTTCTGGGCCTCCTGGGAGGCCCTCGTCGCCACCGCTGGGTTCGTCTCGAAATTCTGGCCAGAGCGCACCCCAGGAGAGGTCTGGGAGGTAGCAGCAACTGCACCTTTTGATCTCCCCAGGGTCCGGCGGCATTGACCTCATCTATCCAGTCGTCCCTTCCCGATCCGTGGATCCGACCACGCGCCAGTTCTGTGTAATCCATGTTAGCGTTAGGTCGGGCGTGTCCATCTATAGGAGGAACATTCAAATATAGTCAACTAGTATATTTTTTGTGTTATGATATTTTAGAAATTATGCTCTTTTTTCTTCTATGAACAAGACAAGACAAACAAAACAATACATGTCTGCGAGTATTTTTTTGTTTTTGTTTTGTTTGATTGTTTCTTGATTGTTTCCATGTTTCGTGCCAAATCCGCCTGCAGGAGGACATGCCCGACCTAATGTTAGCTTGCGCCCAGTTCTCTCCCTCCCCCCTTCTTGCTGCCCCCCTGGAGACGGGAACGCCGCCGACATCTCAACTGGCCCTCGTCCGACCTGCGTCACGGCCAGGAGGGCAGACCGTGCGGGCGTTGTGTCGCCTCGTTGCGGGTCCTGGCGCGGGAGGAGGCGGAGCAGGAGCAGGAGGAGGAGGAGGCGGAGGAGCAGGAGGAGGAGGAGGAGGAGGAGGACGAGAGCGAGGAGGAGGAGGAGGGCGAGGAGGAGGAGGAGGAAGACTGAAGGAGGAGGAGGAGGAAGAGGGCTAGGAGGAGGAGGAGGGCTAGGAGGAGGAGGAGGAGGAGGGCGAGGAGGAGGAGGAGGAGGGCGAGGAGGAGGAGGAGGAGGAGGAGGAGGAGGAGGAGAAGGAGGACCAGTGTAAACCCAAGACTCATCAACGATGTTGAAGTACACCCTGCCTCCAAGAACCCTCTTCATTGGCCATAGGCCCCATGCAAGGGGTCATTTCCATAGCGAGTTGCTCGTTGGGAGACAACCGTGTGAACATCTTGAAGCGTGCCAGAACACAATTCTCAGGAGTTCAACGCCACGAGTTAACCTGAAGGTTACGTTCTGGCGATCCTGAGTCGTGCCAGAATACCATTCTTGGGGCTCCAACACCGCGAATACATGCATTTGTTGCGCCCTGACATTCCTGAATCTCTCCAAAACGCAATTTCTAGCACGTTCACCATGAGAACCAGTAAAGCTGTTACATATGTTGAAACCGACTGTGCGCGGCGCTCAGGCGAGAGCCACATCTGAAAAAGCGACCCACCCTCAATCCGTAAGACTCTTGCACATGCTCAGGACGAGTATGCGCGGCGTTAAGGCGGGAGCCACTTGTTGAAAACGCACCATCCTCAATCCGTGAAGCTCTTGCAAATTTTTACAGAGAGTGTGCGCGGCGCGATTTTGCAAACGAACCGCCTTCAATCCGTGAAGCTCGTGCAATTTTGTTTAAATAGATGTGCGCGGCGCTCAGGCGAGGGCTACATTTTGGAAATGACGTGCAAACTCGGGGCGCTGGGGCGAGAGCCACATTTACAAAAAAACAGCCGCCCTTAATCCGTGACGCTTTTGCACATGTGCGCAGCGGTGAGGCGAGAGCCACATTTTGAAAGCACCCGCCCTCATTTCGTGAAGCTCTTGCAACTATTGAAGACGAATGTGCGCGGCGCTGAGGTGAGAGCCACATTTTGAAAACGATCCGCCCTCCATGTGTGAAACTGTTGACAATGTTTTAGCATCAGGGTCATAAGTGGTGAGGAAGTCTCAGGCGAAACGCCCAGCCCGCCCTTTTGACAGGCCTCGGGGCACGACAGGGATGAGTTTTTATATGGGAAAAATGGACAAGAGGAGGAAGGAGGAGGAAGTGGAAGCCGTGACAGTATTCAGGGCTATTCGAAGCGCACTAGACGGGCACCGGGAACAAGGAGGAGGATGATCAAACAGACACGGAGGACGAGGATCAGGATGACGATGCTGCTGATGATAATGGTGATGATGGTGGTGATGGTGATGCCGATGATACCGATGATGATGACGATGAGGATGAAAAGGAGGAGGATGAGGAGCAGGGGGATGAGGATGGTGATGGTGATGGTAATGGTGATGGTGATGGTAATGGTGATGTCGATGATGATGCTGATGCTGATGCTGCCGATGATGATGATGATGATGATGATGATGATGATGATGATGATGATGATGATGCTGGTGATGATGATTATGATGCTGCTGCTGATGCTGATGCTGATGCTGATGCTGCTGATGATGCTGATGATGCTGCTGATGATGCTGATGATGTTGATGATGTGATGATGATGATGATGATGATGATGATGATGCTGATGCTGATGATGATGATGATGATGATGATGATGATGATGATGATGATGATGATGATGATGATGATGATGATGATGATGAGGGTGATCATGAAGATAATGAGGAGGAGGCGGAAGCAGGAGAGGGGGAAGTGAGGTCTTGTGGCCACCTCGCCTGGGTTGTGGGTAATAAACCTTTAGCATGTTGGCTGGGACGACGCGGGGGCTTTCGGGGACCCCTTGGTGGCGGTTTGGAGGCCTCTTGGGAGCAATTTTGGGGCATTTTGGGGTGTCTTGAGGGCCTTTTAGGGATCTCTTCGCGCCTCCTTTGGGCCTTCTGGGGACCTCTTGGGGCGGAAGGCCTTCAATTTTCCGTTCGTGTTCCCCCTCTTTGGCCCTTCTTGGGGTTGTCTTTGGCCCTTTTGGGCCGTCCTCGGCGCCTCTGGGGCCGTCTTGGAGCCTTCTTGCGCCGTCTGGTGGCCCTCTTGGCGGCCTTTTGGACCTTGGTGTGGGCCTCGTGGGCCGCAATGGAACGAAGGTCGAGGGCCCCAGACACATTGAAAGACCATAGGGAAAACAATAACTTAGGCCTCTCAGAGCCCTCTTGGGACGGCTGTTGGATGCCTCTTGGGACGTCTTGGGCGCTTTTTCGGCCGAGTGGAGACCATGTTGGGCGTGTTGGACCGATCGTGTGGCGATTTGGGGCCCTCTTGGACTGTCTTGTGGCCCTCATGGGCCGGCTGCGCTACCCCGTGGAATCTGCTGGTGGTCATGATGACGATCAGTTATAGTGATGGCACTGGCGATGGTGATGAGCATTAGGATGCTGCTGCTGACGATGATGCTGATGATGACGACGATCATGCTGACGCGGTGACGACGATGATGGCGATGCTGATGCTGACGATGATGAGGATGATGATGATGTTGCTTGTGATGGTGATGGTGATGGTGATGGTGATGGTGATGGTGATGATGGTGGCGATGATGATGATGATGATGATGATGATGATGATGATGATGATGAGGATGAGGATGAGGATGATAATGCAGATGATAAGGATGATAAGGATGATGAGGACGATGATGATGATGATGATGATGATGATGGTGATGACGGATGCGATGCCGATGGCAACGACGTCAACGACGATGACGATGAGGATGATGATGTCGATGCTGATGATGTCGATGCTGATGATGACGATCATGACGACGATGCTTAAGATGACGATGACGATGGCACTCATTTTCGTGATGACTCACGATGATGACGATGCGGGCGACGACGCCGATGAGGATGACTATGATGCTGATGGTGGTTATCTTGGTGACTACGATGTTGATCATGGTAACGGCGATGAGGTCGCTGATGTTGATGCTGGTGATGCTGATGGCGGTGATTTTCGTGGTGATGCTGATGTTATTGATGGTGGTGATGCTTATGATGACGATGCTGATGCCGATGACGATGATGACGGTGATGACGATGCTGATGCTGATGCTGATGCCTGATGCTGCTGATGATGATGATGGTGTTGATGATGCTGATGATTCTGATGACGGTGATGACGACGATGATGATGATGATGATGATGATGATGATGATGATGATGATGATGATGATGATGATGATGATGATGATGATGATGATGATGATGATGATGATGATGATGATGATGATGATGAGC